AGCACACGTCATAATATTACCTTTAAATCTTAAATCTGTTACACTGGTATTCCTTATTTTTTGGTTCAGGTTTTTAGTGATGTGAATATAAACACTATTCATTTTGGCAAAACAGTTTGTTTACTGTGTACCGCTATTTCTCCTTCGAACTTTCCGTTGTTGTTTATTTTCATTTTTTAAAATTAAATTTCTACCCTTGTACATTTAACTCGTCTGAATGTTTAAATTTTGCTAGTTAGTATGCATTAATTGGCCTAGTAAATTGGCACACACATACGGCCCTCCTACCAAATCCCCATTCGCGTATGTTTCACCTGACTAGAAAGTCGACTGAACACCCTGAACTGAAAGTTTTCTATGGGCGGTATGTATTATAATCCTGTACTGTAACAGGCTCCTAAGCATACAATCAATTTTGTTTACAAAATCACTTAGTCTGTTAATCACTCTCTCTTCTTATTACATCCATTATGTGAAAGCCTGGCTCATCAGTAGTTGTAATATTGTCAGTCAATTGTGGTCCTTACTTTAATGCCTGGTAACGTTTTACGCAACTAGTGTATGTATAGCCAGCTCATAGCCTGGTTGTATGGTGTGTGTATGTGTGCATGAAAACTCATATCCTTATAGTAGGCGTATCCGAGTGTTCTAACTAACCTTCAGAGGAGGTGATCATTTTATATAAATGCATGAATAACATTCACTGTTTAAACTGATATCGAGGAAATTATCACAGTAATCTTAAGCTACATGATTGTGTTAAAAAACATTATAGTATGCATAAATTTACATTCGATACCAGTAGATTAACTGGTAGATAATCAACCGACAGCAACAAGAAAAGCGAGCAGCAGCAGCACCAATCACCATAAACGGCGGAAAGAGATCAGTTCCTTCCTTGACTTATCTTATCTAGCCTAGGCAGCCAGCACCGCTTCAACCACAGGTAGTTGTTGGAACGGATGAAGATGTGAAAACCACCAGCCAGAATGGGAAAGGCAAGATACACTTTCATCAATCTTAAATCAGTTAGGAAATCTGTAATTACTCAACAGCATAGAGAACAACATTCGGATTTCCAACATAAATGATGGTGAAGTCAGTCAGTCAGTGCTTTTATATAGGGGAGAAACTTGCGCTGCACGTGCATCATGGGAAGCATTTCCAACAGCCAATTGCAGACTTTCATGAACAGCTGCCAACTTCACTGGCTGGCTGGCTCCATACTGAAGATCGAATGACCAGCCCATCAGGAAGAATCCTCAATGTGAAACTATGGCAATGAACGAACCAACGAAGAGCCGATTGCTCAACAAATATGTAGGAGGAAATGGAGATGGATTGATTGGGCATACGTTGAGGAAGGAGACCGTCGAATGACATGGCATGCAATGCAGGTCATCGGTCGAGTGGAAGGTGAATGGGAAATGACGAGTAGGTCTTCAGTGCAAGAGTGATACAGTGGAGGAGACGAGAGATTATGGGCAGTCGTGGGGTTAGCCAGCTAAAGAGGACAACAGTAAATAGAATAAAATGGAGATGTGTTGTTGAAGAAGCCGTATGTTCCACTCGGAACCCAAGGTATCTAACAGATTTGATATGACACGGGTATTTCACTATACTCTATGTGGATTGTGTATGTTCGTCATTCATTCATTAATCTGAAAGTGCATTTGACAAATCGTCTTTCATCATAAAACATACACACACTGGACGCTGTTTTCTTTACTGCTTCCTGCTTCTTTTCAGTCCAAGCATAGGTGTACAGTTTAATGAATATAAGCTATTATATGTGAATCAAAACTATGTTACAGGATTTCATCATGAGCTGACATTGGTTAGAGAACCATTGGAAAATCTGGGAGTACTGGACAGTTGTTTCGTCCTAGTTTGGGACTCTTCACAGTACGCACCCATCGGGGTTTGAACCCAGGACCTCCTGATTACAAGGCGAGCTCGTAGACCACTAAGCCACTGACACCCGATCCAATGGCCCATGAATTCTAACTTCTACCAATTCACGACATACCACGACCATGTTACTGCGCGCTTCTCTACTGTTACGATACATGATCCTCGCCTGCCTAACAATAATAATAGTAATTATTATTTTTCAAGAATTAGTTTTTATGGATTCTATTTGTTTCACTTTGGTCCACGGATTGATATCAATTAGAGGAAACCATTGAAAACCAGCCACAAAGGAGTACTGAACCGCTATTTCGTCCTAGTCGGGGACTCTTCGCAGTACGCACCCATTGCCATGGTTCGAACCTAGGGTTTTCTGTTAGTTATAAGACAAGCTCGTAAAACATTCAGCCACTCACTGGAACCCGATTCAATTGGCAGGACATGAATTCTAACTTCCACCGTTTCGTGATTTTAGCGCGACCACTAAGCACCAAATTCATCGTCACTCCTCATTGAATGGACTGGACCCCCCACTGGTTGGTCATGGCTTCTCACTAGAACTGACTCCAGGAGGCCCGTCACAATAGCTACTTCTTTATTCATCAGATGGAAATTATGATCCAAGATGTAATGAATGAATGAGAGAGAGAATGACTGAAACACTGAACAATCTTATGAATAACTGTTGCATAGTCAGTCTACTATCAAACATAAATAGACGCACACCCACACACAAACACGTTCACTCTACACAGACACATTTTTGTTACTTACCCTTACTTTGTTTTCAAAACTTATCCTTTTTTTATCGTCTAATGTCTACATTTTATCGTAGTGATTAAAAGTTGTAAAAAGAATCAATTTTCGGACAGACCATATATATATATATATACATATACATATAATCCTTGATTCGATTGACATATGCGTTCATAAATGCTTCAGTTTTACTGAATGTATGTATCTATCTGACTGTAGACTAGTAATTGTATGTATGTGTGTATGTATCCAGTCTATATTTGTGTGTATACAGATTTTCATACAAGGTTAGCCTCGCTTATCCCCTGCGTCTATCTTCGAGTTTGTGTTCTTAGTGAAGCACTATTATGACTGAATAGATTTCGATACATTTTGTTATAAAATTCTGTTCCATATATAAATAACAGTTGGCCCAAGAAAAATACAATGTTGGCTTTCGATAAATCGACCATCCTCTCTTCTATTTAACAACATCACATCATCTAAGAAGTGAAATGTGGAAGTCAACGCTTCGTCGATAGTGTAAAGCATCGATTGGGGTGGGCGGGGGTCGGGTTGAGAACCATTAAATTTTGTGAAGCGACACCTTCATTATTTGACATGAATATCGCTTATTCATTATGCGAACTCGAGATTGTTTCTTTCGAGCCCACCATGCGAAACATCCGCTAGGAGTGTGGTCCCAATGGAGAGACCCCATGGCGACTCCATCGCTTCGATAATAAATAACATCCATCGTTAAATCTAAACTGCACATTAACCGTGGACCCATTGAAAGAAACAATCCTGAGTTTATATGTGTATAAGCGACACCTTCATTATTTGTAACAGAAAAATACAAATGCCTGTTGATATTTATATATATGCATGCACTGGTCTGCTGACTGACGACTGTATGATCCATCGTTACACCGATTGATGTAAGCGTTCAACTTCCAACCAATAATGGGTCCCAGGTTCGAATCCCACTGTACTTACCTCTGTTTGTGCAAACTGAGCGGTAGTACCTATCATCAGTAGCCGCTCACTCAATGGTAAGTGTGGTTCATGAGAGAGAGAGAGAAAATCTATTTCCGGTGGTAACTAAGATGTAGACGCCACACAACTGAATGTGTCTTCCTTTGTACATACAACTGTCATTGGGTTCACTTATAATGTTTGTTTTTTTAATTCAGCGTACTAAAAGTTTATGAATACACATTCATTTTCATTAGGTTGACTTTTATAGTCATTCTCTCCTCTTACTTTGTGTGCTACACGGAGAGAGAGAGTGTGGCAACTGGAACTGGTGCACATCTGTGTAAAGTTCTATGTTGAAACCAGTCAGTCAGCTTTTAATTGGAATTAAATTGCTGACCTTCGCTACTCAATGACTTCTGGATGTATCTCATGTTTGACTAAATTAGCTTACTATGTATGACACCAGTCAATGAAATCTACAACAGTTAGTCTAAGCCACGTAGGGAGGTGTAGACTTCCTGGTTGGGGTCCTCGGGAGGGTAAAAACCAATGGTTGGAAACAATTGGTGACATGGCTCAAAATCGTTCTCACTGACAGTGCAGATGCATCCACTCCTTGTGACTTATGATTTCCAATTAAACTGTTTTGTTCTTCGTTATTACTATTCCTTTGTCTCACACCTCTGTTTACTGTCTATATTATGCATTTCTACTTTCTTCTCTTGCTTTGTGTGCTACATGGAGTGTGGCGACTTGATCTGCCGCACATATGTGCAAAGTTCTATGTCGAAAACAGACAGACAGAAACTCGTAACTATTGTCATGTGTCTAGTCCTTTTGTTTACTGCAGACTGAATTCTATCAGTCAGTCAGCCAGTCAAGTTTGCAATGTGGCCACACCATGCCACTTGCGGGTGGCTGGCTCGCTCGCCATCACAGGGTACACTCAAGATTGTTGTTAGTAGATGGTTGGAATCGTCCATCGGCCACAGGAGGCCTTGCCTAGACCTAGATTTCGTGCTTGTTTACACTCACCAGTCAGCAATCTTGAAGGAACAGCTCGTGTGCCTTCTGAGATTCGAACCGTGTCACCCAGTGATTCACAGAGACGTTACCAGCACTGAACTATTCGAGCCGGCTAGCGATTGATCTCCTGTAGCACTGTATTTTTTTCTTCTGAAAAGCGCAGAACTCATAAACTTTGAGATAATCATTATTTACTAAAATGTCAGTGTAAGGCGGCTTCCTACTTACTGGCTTGTTTGTTTTTTCCTGTTATCAAGAAGGTGTACAGAACAGGAATAGCGTGTCACTTCCTTCCTTCAAGGGTCGATTTATTGTTATTGTTGTTATTTTTCCACATATTTCAGTGGATCATATGAACGGTGGTGCAGTAGCTAGTCAATATCAATATCAACCAGCAATGATGGGTGGAGAGCCAGTCTGTATGGATCCAGGTTATTTCGGTGGTCAGACTCAGCAACAGCAAATGATGAATGGTCAACCAATTCCAACTGCACATGGTGCTCAACGCTACTATCAACCGAATAACGGTGGCATGATGAATGGTCATAATAATATGATGATGACTGCAATTACTACAAGACCAACATTTGAACCAGAGCATTGGCGTATCGCTGGAGCTGATTGTACAGCTGGTTTAGGCATAGATGCTCGTGGATTAGATGTTGCATCTACACGAGGTGCAGGTTGGCAAGTAAGTGTAAAACGCTTTTGTTTGTATATATTTCAAGTTTTTTTTTAAAAAAACAAACAAAGAAATTAGCCATCCATTGATTGATTGATGATGGTGTGTGTTATCAGAAATGTTGTCAATTTACTGAAATTGATGATGTCTAAAAATTTTTGGTGTCTGTTTGTGTGTGTGTATTTTGGCACACTGTATATAACAAATCATACTTGAAACTAATTTTCCGTTGTGCGCACATGGAACTAAAAATTTCTAGATTATAATTTCTGTTTATTGTTCCCTTGGGTTCCGAGTAGAACATAGGGCGTTTCAACAACACTCCATTTCCACTCTCTTCTATTTGCTGCTGTCCTCTTCAGCTGGCTAGCCCCACGAGTGCTCATAATCTCTCATCTCCTCCTGCCCCCCCCCCTCCCAGAACACCATCTCCCCTATGCCACCCTCACACCGACTTCCTACTGGCGTTCCAGTCGAGTGATGGATAGCCTGCATTGCGCGCAATGTCCTTCTACGGCCTCCTTCCTCAATGTATGCTCAATCAATCCATCTCCATTTCCCTCCTACATATTTGTTGAACAATCGGCTCTTCGTTGATTCATTCATTGCTAATTCTTTCTGGCAGACAGGCTGGCTGGCCATTTGATCTTCAGTATGGAGCCAGCCAGCCAGTGAAGTTGGCAGCTGTTGATAAACGTCTGAAGTAGCCTGTTGGAAATGCTTTACCTGACGCACGCGCGGTGCAAGTTTGTCACCTATATAGAAGAACTCACTGACATCTGTGTTGAACAGAACCCGAATCTCCTTCTTTATGCTACTGAGTTATTGCAGAAGATTTCCAAATTAGTTCCTGGTTGATGAAGGCGTGCATATCCCGCCTTTCCCATTCTGGCTGACTGGCTGGTTGGTGGTTTTGACATCTTCACCCGTTCCGACGGCTGCCTGTGGTTGAAACGATGCTGGCAGCCTAGGTGCTAAACAAGAGAAGTGAAGAAAGGAAATGATCAATTTCAAACTCTTTCTCCCGTATATGATGTTTGGTGCTGCTTTTTGTTGTTTTTGGTGGTGTTTGGTTGTCTTCATGACCCCCGTCTCTACCTTCTCTATGTTCATCACCTGGATGTGGAGTCCTGTGTTTGCTGCAAGCCAGTCGGCTAGCCTCTTCAGCCAGTTTTCGCCTGACTCTAAGTCTTCGCGTTTGTGTTTATGTGGCATAAATCATCTGCAATATCTTCTCACTGACACCGAACGCACAGTCTGACGCATAATCCAGTCCAAGATTTCTAGATGATCACTAAAGAAAAAAAATTTTATTTTGGTTTTTTGCCCCCAGTCGCTGTGTTTCAGTGTCTGTTGTTATTGAATATAACATGATCACCCGAACCGTCACATCATTCAGTTTCATATTATGTAGATAGATAGATAGTGGTTGTATTATGAAATTTTTAAGCCATTCATTCTGTTTAACTTGAACGAGAATTGTTCATTATACTAACTAGGAATTTCACATTTTCACTTTAATAAAAGCACACACCCCCCTGTGCATTTTAGTGTTACAGAGAGACTGATTCAATTCTAAAGGCATCTTCTTATTCACCTTATGATGATAAAGATTAATAAAATTTTCTTGTTTTCTGTGCATGCGCTCTTACTTACTCAATACATATAACGAGTGTATATTGTTTTCTTCGTATTTTAGGGTTGTAGAGCAAATAAAGGCGTAAAAGCTCCAGGTGCATACTACTATGAAGCTGCGTGCTTAGAAGAAGGACTTATACGCGTCGGCTGGTCAACTAATGATGCCAATTTAGAACTTGGTACTGATAATTACGGTTTCGGCTTTGGCTCAGACGCTATAGGTCCTGCTGGAATGAATGGCACAGGTCGTGTAATGCATCGTAATACTGGACACGATTACGGAATTATGGTTCATCAAGGCGATGTTATCGGTTGTCTACTTGATTTAGACAAAGGATGCGTTTCTTGGTCGTGTAATGGTAAAGTTTTCCAACGTGCATTCACAATACCTGATCAGTTACGCGGGGAAGCATTTTTACCAGGTAATAATTTTGTGTGCACTTTTTATTACGTACATTTTTTTTAAGTACATTTATTCCCATTTATGAATTTGAATTAAGCCCATGGCAACAGTGGTTTGTGGAGGATAAAAGATGGTACCATCATTGCTTATTTCGTTCGTTGACTTCTCATCAGCTCAGCTGAGCACAGCCTAAATAAATTATTATTAAGTTTATGTACAGAGATAATTTTAACATACTTGCAAATTATACATGATGTCAGTTAGTGACAGGAGACTCCAAACTTAATGAATAGTGCTCAGAAAATTACACTCATAGTTTCTACACAAGGAGTTCAAGTTTAAACAAAGTAAATGTATGCATAAAGTGACAAAGGAATTAAGTAATAAAGACGAGAGATGCGTGAGATGATGGATGAGTAACTAATAAATTGGTTAACAATATACTGAGTTCAACTCAAATCATCGGAACAAGAGACAAGCCAAATTACACTACATCAAAGGTGGGGGACGGGGCGATGAGGTTAAAGCCAAAGATTACGCATCCAAATGAAAGAGAGAAAGACGGTGAAGACATCCAGTTACCAGGATGCAGAGCCAGGTAACACTGATGATAACTGCTTCTTTCTGAACACAGAAATCACTTACAGGCATTTACTGGAGATTGCTTCGCCAAACATGAGGAGAATTGAGCTCTTCTGTCGATTGATAATGTTAAAGGATTTTGCGATTTCCACCTGACGACGACCCGTATCGAGTAGATGCCTGGTAGTGGTGTGGTGAGAGCTGGCTACTAGCCAAAATTGGTAGACACTAATTTACGTCAATGTTTACGTCCCCAATATCGGTCATGAGAAAAATATGAACAAAGACTGATTCAACAACCAACCACAGCAGACTTTGCGTAGGCGGATACAGCTAGCATATAGATGATCTGACATTCAAGAAACAGCCACAAAGAGATGAAAGATGAACTTTCATTGAGAAGCAACCAATCAGAAGACTGTGTTTTTCTACTAACAATAATCTACAATAATGGACATGAAATATATAATGTGTTGATTTCCTTAATAAAGCATCTGTTGCCTGGCCCTTGTCTTCTGTGGTTACAGTAGCACTGTTGTAAGCTTTTGTTCCCTTTGTTCAGAAAGTCGAAGGTGTGCCCTTCTTCTTCTTTCTCTTCTCCCAATATGTGTAACTGAGCACCGTTCACACTAAGATCGAAACTTCCTGTCAACGAAATAAACAATGATTGTGTACGATCTTCTAATTGTCCACAAACCACTCTTTTCCTTGCTTAATGCAAATTCATAAAGGGGATTAAATGTGTGATGTGTATTTTCTGGCAGACCTTCATTTATCAAATAAAAATTTTCTATTGATAAGTTTGCTGAAAAAAAGAAGAAATAATCCTATCGCATGAACTCGTTCAACTATGCATGAAATTTGTTCGTGTGTGTGACTGGTATTCCTAGTTGTCAGAAGAACATTAATCTGATGCTCGCTAGTGACTTGCTACAGGTTGGAGTTTCCTGGAGTCAGTTCTAGTGAGAAGTCGTGTGACCAGTGAGGTCCATCCAGATGTCACGTGTGAGGATGGTTGATGCCAGTCGCGCTAAATCACGAATTGGTAGAGGTTAGAATTCATGCACTGGCCATTGAATCGGGTCCCACTGAGTGGCTGAATGGTATACGAGCTGGCTTGCCTTGTAATCGGAAGGTCCTGGGTTCGAACCCTCCTGGTGCAGTGGGTGCGTACTGCCGATGATTCTCAAACTAGGATGATGTAATAGCTGTCCAGTACCCCCTATGGCTGGTCTTCAATGGTTCTCTAACTGATATCTATCCGTGATCAACTCGTTAAAACAAAAAAAATAACCCTTACAAACCAAACTATAGAAGAAAATAGTATTTTCCCATAGTTTATTATTTTCAGTAACAACCGCAGTACTACTATTACTAGTACTACTAATAGTAATATCAGTAGTAGTATTAATCAATAAGCTAACTAGCATGCTTCACTTACCAGTACAATCACATTTTTTCAAAGCAACTGTTTCTGTGAATATACATTCAAAAAAAGGCAGTGATATGAAATAGGATATGATATTTGCACAATTAGTTAGCTAACAAACATTTACATTTTGTTTTTCTCTGTGTGAAATTCCACACCACTTAGTATTATCATTAATTGCGTTCGTTGATTCTCTCTCTCTCTCTGTAGGAGCTTATGATGTGTGTGTGTGTGTCTATGTTCATTGGAATCCTGCAGTTTTTGCTTTGTGCAACCCCAGCTGTTAACTTCCTATTCATCTCTCTCTATATGTATAAATAAATAAACGGTCGTATCATTGTCTAATAATAATAATAATAATATGTGGTTGCTGGGTTGTGATGATACTTCATGGTGGTGATATTTGTTTATTACACTGTATATAAATTAGTACATAGTTTTACTCGATTTCTCTAAAGCAGAATTTCACTTGTTTTTGTAATTCACTGACTGACTGACTGGTGGTTTCAAGGTGGAACTTTGCACAGATGTCCATCACAGTTCCATTTGCCACACACCCTCCATGTACCACACAAACCAACAGAAGACTGACTGTAAAGAGAGATAATAAGCACAAGTGTGTGAGGGGGGGGGCAAAAAGAATAGTTATGCGGAAGAACAATAGAGTTTTATTGGATATGATAATTCAGAATGAGTAAATGCATCTGCTCCAGCCGTCATTGGCTTCCACGATCATCTTGACGACCTCAAACAGTCAGGTAGTCTTCACCTCCAAACGTGGCTGGCTAACGGGCTTAAACTAACTCTTGTGGATTTTGATCGACTGATGACGAGGCCATGTTTCCGTTTGACCACGTCCACCACCACTAGCTGTTTCCTCTCCAACCTGCCCCTCCCGTCGGTCCGTCGAGTAAGAAAGGCGATGGCTAGACAGGTAGGCATGCGTAAGCAACACATATCCTAACCATCCATCTCAACCGATGTAACTGCTTCGCAACTTTGTTGTCGAATGATTTCCCGTCCTGCTCCTCCCCCTTCTTACCCCTTACCTAGCAGCACTCCGCCGACCGACTGATGCCTCACATCAATATTGCTCGCTCACCGTGTATGTTACACCTATCTACCTAACAACACGGGAGATAGAACGCAGGCAACTATGATCAAACAGAGCTAGGTAGCTAGGATGGAGCTTACATCTTCTCTTCATCACCTAATCTTTTCCATTGTTGGCAAGCTCAGACACCCAATTTTCTGCTTCGTGTATTCTGGATGAAATCGCCACCCGGTGTGTAATGTCATTTTCAACATCATCTCAGCGTAACTTCAGCCCATTTCTGCTTTCTTTATATCTGTTGGTCAATAGATTCTTAGTAGGTGTCCACTGTCTGTGTCATAGGGAAATGATTTGAGCAGTTCGTGCCAGTGTTTTAGTATAAGATCAACTCTGACTCTTTTATCAATTCAGTTCTACTTCACTTCTATAAAATGGGAACAACTTTCAGTTTCCTAAACACCTATATAGATTACAGTTTTTGGAACAAGTATTGCTAACTTTTCAGATTTAGCCGTGTTATACGTGTGAATTTTTCACATTCCTCTTTCTTCATCCATCTTTTCCGTTTCTTGTTTCTTTTTACTGTACTAATATGTACATTTATGTAGCTGCCAGTCTAAAAGATTCACGTATCCTGTTCAATTTCGGTGAAGAGCAACCGCTAGAATTTCCACCAGGTGGTGTATATGTTCCTGTAGCTCAGTCGTCAGACGATAGTCAAGTACCTAATAGAAATCCTGGATGGCGTATGAATCAGTATGATGCAACTAATGCTTTGGATGTAGCGCCGGATGGAAGTCAAGTCCAGTCACACTATAATCAAGGTTGGCAAGGATGTCGATCTAATCATGTAAGTGTAACACTTGTGTATTATAAATTTGTACATCTGGTATTTTAACTTCACGTACTTGTGAGCGAGCGTCTAACCCAGAAGTCACTTCTGATTATTATTGTAATGATGTTTGCTTAGCAAAATGTCAGAACTAGGAATAATTAACTAATAGATTCCTTGATGGATATGGTATGTTTAAGGTGTAAACCAGCTCTAGCTATATCTGGTTTTGGTAGTCCTTGAGAGGTGGTAACGGGATATGGCCAGGTGTGGTTGTGATCCCGTCCCTAGAGGTACGTTGGGAGGATGTACCTCTGTCGCTCATGGGTCCCATATATCGAGGTGATGTGGTGTTTTAAATAGACAGAGGACACCTTCGGATTTTTGGCTGAGAGTAAGTTTTGGTGGCTCATCGCCTGAGTATAATCACCCACCCCCTTATGCGATGCAGTTGCCAACTTCACTGGTCATCACTGTAGGATTTTAAAAGTCCAGTTTTTGTATTTATTCATTCCATCTGTGTTTTTTTAATCTTCTAATCTAAACAACCGATGCATCTTTTACTACCTCTAAATTGCAATCGGTCAGTTTTTATTTCAAAATTCTCTTTTACTTATTATTATCATCACTATAAAGAGGTTTCAAATTATCAGCATCACACCTAATTCAGTTGTCATAATCTTTTCATGCATGTTTTTTCTCAGAGACACATTTGTAACAGAAAATCTTCACAGCTTTCATATGTTATTTTTGTAAATATTTCTTGATGTACATCATTATGATGTGTTATCTCCATATTTTCCCGTATGCCTTATTAACATTTCTGTTATCGGACTGATCGCGAGCTGCCTTCGGTTAGATTAACCATTGGAAAACCTGGAGTTGCGCTAAATATATGTGTGTATCGAATTGGCAGAAGTTGGGTTCGAATCATGGCGGTGGGTGTGTACTACTGAAGAGTCCCAAGCCACTAGGTGCAAAAAGAAGTGGCTTTGCAGTACTCTCATGTTTTCCAATGGTTCTCTAACTGACGCCAACTTGTTATCAATCCTGTGACCAATCAAATACCTGCGAACGAACTCTTGACAATTCCAGTTATCAATAGTAAGCGCAAACTGTGTAAGTCGAAAGTCAGAATTTTGGTTGAAAGCAAGCTGCATTTGTGTTCTCGAAATTTTCAGGGCATAATAACGCTTAGTCTAGTGAGACTTTGCACATTTATGATTGTATATATATATATATATGTATATATATATATATATATATATATATATATATATATATATATAGTTAAAACCTGCGTCAAACGAATCAATCCTCGAGTGATTTACCAATGTGTGTAGCTGTCCCTATAATCCCCCAAGGAGGATGTGTTAGACGATAACTGAGTCTGCACTTAGATCAGTGTGTTGAACAATGTTCTATTTTCAAATGTTTGGTTTGCTTATGAGGGGTTATCCCCACCCCACCCCCCCTAGGCATAAGGTTTGTCTCACAGAATATCAAAATTATATGCGTATGAAAGTCGGTGATTTTGCTGCTTGTGACAGCTGACAGTATAACTAGTAATTTCCTGTTGTTGTACTAGTTGGATAATTGATTGTCTCCGTATCCCATTGTAGCCGTGTATAGTCATGAGGTGTATTTATCGAGACCAACTGACTGACATTTCATGCAAATCTTGACAGGAAGATAGACTGTCTAACGATGGTGATCAGAGGTCATATACAGACACATGTAAACTTAGTTAATCTCATGTCTAGTTTGCCGTTTATCATCCACACCTGTAATTTAAAACTGATTAGTATTCGCGTTATATTATCGTGAATTGTGTAATGTATGTTCGTTTCACATCTTGAAGGAAGGACATCTGGGTTTCATTCGTCGTAGAGATCATATGTGAGTGTTGATCCATAGTCCAAAGCTAGTCCGGAACTAACAGATTTTTGTAACTCATGTCAGTTTTTGAAGTTCAGCCTAAAGCCAATCAATCAATAATAATAATTTTTGTATCCTCATAGTTGATATTATTAATATTATCTCAACACCTACCCTGCTGTTGTTATCAAATGTCAGTTTAGGCAGGGGGGAGGGCAAACTATCCTGTGTACACCTGCGCAGTCGTAGTAACGCGATTGTATCGCTAATCTTATATTCCTGTTGAGTCAGTCTCACTCTCCACTGACGTATACGACTGATATGATATACCAGTTAGTTCGGCTGTTTAGTCCTTCTTACTATGTGTTATTGTCTGCTTCCTATAATAAAATATTTAATATCTCTTTGATCATGGGTGCCTGCGTTCTATCTCCCGTGTTAGGTAGGTAGGTAGGTGTAACAGACACGGTGAGCGAGCAATATTGAGGTGGGACATCGGTTGGTCGAGTGCTGCTGGGTAAGGTGTAAGGATGAGGAGGAGAAATCAATCGACAACGAGGTTGTGAAGCAGTTACATCGGTTGAGATGGATGGTTAGGACATGTGTTGCTCACGCATGCTTAGCCATCGCCTTCCTTACTCGACCGACCGAGGGGCAGGGCGATGTTAGCTGACTGACATAGGATGGATCGATGGATGAGGTTGGAGAGGAGTTCGCTAGTGGTGGTGGTCAAAGTAGAACATGGCTTCATCATCAGTCAGTGAAATCCACAAGAGGTAGTTTAAGCCAGCCACGTCGGAAGGTGCAGATTGCCTGCCTGTTTGGGATCCTCTAGATGATGGTAGAAACCAATGAAGGCTGGAAACAATTGGTGATATGGCTGGCGCTGGTGCAGATGCATTCACTCTTTGTGATTTATCATATCCAATAAAACTCTACTGTTCTTCCGTAGTACTATTCTTTTCGCCTCACTCACACTTCTGTTTATTATCTCTCTCTCTCTCTTTTTGAATCTCTCTTTACTGTCTTCTGCTGGTTTGTGTGGTAGGTGTAGGGAGTGTGGTAACTGGAACTGTTGCACGCACATGTGTGCAAAGTTCCATGTTGAAACCAGTCATAATATATGTACTGTCTGTCAGTCATAACATCACTTTGCCAGTAATCGATGTGTATTTGTTGCTCACACACACACACACACACGACATATATAACTAAGTAATGTTGTTCTAAGTACATGGAGTGTTTTGTAAAAGCAGACTAGTAGTCTAGGCACTCATTAAACTTTAACTGTATATGTGTGCATGTGTATGCGGCGCATATCGTCGTCGCAGTTGTAGTAGGGTAAGCAGTAGGAAAAATAGTTTCTTTTTGTAAGTGTTGTTAATGCAGATACAATAAAATCTTTTGACTACTAATTGTGTAAGCAGGAGGAGAGATGAAATTCTCACTTGTTTTTGTTTTATAATTAAAGCGACTAGCTAGCTCTCTGCCATTGTATGTGCGTGTGTGCGTGCATATCATACTTGTTAGCTTGTTTTTTGTCTCTCTTTTTATACTGTGTGCAAAACTATTTCTTTTATAGTCTGTTAAAAAAGAAAACAACTGCAGATACCATACCGCATCCCTCGATCCTTGTTGTTCACTAGGTTTGGTATGTATTTATCGTGTGTAGAGTAGAACTGTGCAGAGCGTCTGTTATTCCTGTCTTTCATCACCCCCGCCTCCCTCTTTCTCTCTCTTGTTATCATCACCCTATTGCATAATTCCAGTTATCTATCTATTTCACCTGTGGTGGACTGGATTATGCGTCAGACTATGCTATGCATTGGTAGTGGGTAAGTGAGAAGACAGGAATCACTGCACTGACCTGGATTTCGCCTGTGCATGATTTATGTCGTTGAATGTCACACAAACTGGAAGACTTTCAGGCAGGCAGGCGAAAACTGGCAACAGACTGGCTGAGGAGGTCGGCTGGCAGTGAAGACAGGACTGACTACATCCAGGTGATGTACATAGAGAAGGTGGAGACGGAGGTGATGAAGATAACCAACCACCACCACTACCAACGCAACAACAAGAAACGACAACAACCAGCAGCATCAATCACCATGAATGGGAGAAAGAGGTCACTTCCTGCCTTCACTATCTTATCTAGCCTAGGCTGCAGCATCGTTTAGATGATATTCCTATGCTAAAGTGTGAAATTTTTTATCACATGTGACAAAAAGATATCCTCTGTAACACATTTTTATACAATTTTATGCCCTTTTTTCAAATATATATATGTATTTCACACCCAAAAGCGCCTCTCCCGTGTGATTGGTGCGTTCAGCGTCATTTGCTGATCTGTAGTTAGTTAGTTAGTTAGTGGTGCCTAAAGAAGTCTAACTTTGCCTTTTCCACTGCTATTTCTGTCGGTTGCACACGTGTGTGTTAGTGTTAAATGTCTACCGCCCCTTTTTTTCTCTCCTCCTCCTCCTCAGGGTATTCGTGGACTTGGCCGATTCTACTTTGAAGTTACGCCGATTGAATCCACTGGGCTTTGGCGTTTTGGTTGGTCAACAGACGAAGGCAATCTAATTATTGGCACAGATAATAATGGTTTCGGTTATGGTGCTGATAACGAGGGTTTCGGTTTGAATGGACAACAAGGCAAACGGATACATGGCGATGAAATTGAAAACTATGGTGAAGTAGGTCACATTTTGATGATCGCTATTTTTATATTTCAGAATAGTTGTCACCCTTCTCTCTGTGTTTTTTTTTCTTCTCCTTCTTGTAATGGACTGTTTGTGGTTTTGAAAAATGTTTTATGTGCTATTTGTTATATATAGTTGTGAACTTTTTGGCTAGAAGTCATTCCAGCCTCCTTTTTCCCTTTGGAAGATAAAAAAGAAATAGCAGGTAATCATCTTGCGTAACAGGTTTTCGTGGAATGCATCGTGATTTTTTTGTGTGGGGGCACGCGCTAGTCTAATAACTTATGTGTTGTAATGCAATTTACCAATGTCAGTGCTGGTTCTAAAGCAATTATCCTAGTAATTTGAGTCATCTTCTCTTTCACCACCCTCCTCTTCTCTCTTCTGTTAGTTTCCAGGTATCCTCCGTTGAAAGCCATTCCTTGTCTTGTCTCTTCTTTCTTCCTGAAACAGTTGTACACGTCGCCTTGAACATCACTATCAGAGAGTTTCAATGTTCTTCCACGCAGGTTTGTTTTCTCAGTGATACCACGTAGAGTGTCTCCGACTTTGCTCTGATCTGATCTGTAATGAAGGCATCCCTTCAATTTCTGAGTGTTGAACTTGAATTGGGGCCTGTCTCAATTTGTTTTGAGGGATTTAAGCTTCACCCTGAAGGTTCCTTGAACTAGAGATGATGGTCTCAGTGAGCCCACATATGCTCCCCTTCTCGGCTTTGTGTCCAGCAGGCTGCGTCTCTACTTCCTTGAGCAACATTGAAGATGAAGTCTCTCTGGTCTGTGGTGTGTCCATCAGGCGAAATCCATGTTGCTTTGTGTATATCCTTGTGCTTGTACACACTACCTCCAATCACCAAATGATTGAAAGCACAGAAGTCTGTGAAAAGTTCTCCGTTCTCATTCATTCCGCCAAGTGTGGGAGCCTCTCGAAACATGATGAGTTCTCTTCCTGTATTATCTGCTCCCAGCTCGGCGTTCATATTGCCCATAAGGATTTTGATGTCACCATTCGGGATGTTGTCCATTATTGTTTGTAGTTGCCTATTAAAATCTTTCTTCTCTCGTTCCTCGTTGTTTGTAGCACTGTGCGTAGCATTGGATAATTGTAACCCTCCTTCCTTCATTTTGAGTTGAATCTTGTTGTCATAATCCTGTATGAGGAGTTTGGCTGCCGTTGGTGAAATCATGATAGCCACTCACTCCCTCAGTGTGCTCGTGGTTGTCCTCAGCGTGGGTGACCAGACCGGAGTAGATTACTGATACTCCAGTTGACAATTTTGATAATCCACATCCATTCCATCTGCTCTCGCAGATACTGAGCACTTGTATACCATACCTTCTCATTTCTTTGGCCATTTGAGTAGCTTTCCCCACCGGCTTCGTACACTGTACATGATTATTACACGTTTCCATTCTTATTCTTGCTTTCTTGTTCGTTGGGTCTTTTGTAGCAGTTTGATTGATTTTGTGGGGTAAGGTCTCCAGTCCCAAGTCAAAACCATCCTTCTTTTCCTGGGCTTGGAAGTGGTTAGAAAACTAGCGAGCTAGTAAACCAGTTCAGGTGGGTCGTCGGTGTTAGGGCGACATTGGAGGAGCAGATGAGAGATTATGGCTATTCATGGGCGCTAAGCCGAAGAGGAGGACATCTGAAAATCCAAGAAAGTGGAGATATGTGTTGCTGAATTCCTATGCTCCACTCTGAGCCCAAGGGATCAATAATAATAATGATAATATAAAGCAATAATATGCGAAAAGTTATTTTTGCATTTCTCTAGATTCTGGAGAGATCTTTTTTCTCCCCGGAAAATAACCATAAATCATTTAGTGAACTCTTGGCACTGGTCTGTAGCTGAAAAATCTATAAAAATTTTGTTGGTTCGTTTTTATCTTAACTTCTCACCCACCCACTCACTCACTCACCGTCCCGTGTCCGCTACCCATTCACCCTTTCATTTTTCTTTTTGCCTTTCTGCTCTTAAGTAAACAAGAGACATATTCAATATTTCTTGGACTTATTTGAATTCTGAGTTGTATATGAATGCTACTCCGATTACCGCTGGTCTCTTTCAGAAGCAGAGAGACAGAGAGAGATAAAAGGAATTAATTATATGTTAAATTATGCACTTGCCTAGATTTTTTCCGGTTTTCCTTTTCGGTTTTTCTATTCCTTTGTCAATAATTCCCTAATCTTTAGGATATATACTTTTACCATGAAAAAAAGAATAACTATTGTCGTTCTATTTTTTTGTTGCTAAATTTCCACTTTAATAATTTTCTGTCTTTTGGAAATCGGAGAAAAAAACTATCGATTTTTTCAAGTACTTCAGGCAATAACGTGAGCAGTTGTACACTAGCTCTATATATTATTATTATTATTATTATTATTATTATTATTATTATTATTATTATTGTTTCCTTTAATTCCCAGAGGAACATAGGGCTTCAGCCGTGCGTCTCCATTGCGTTTGCTTCTCTGCTAGAGTCTTTATCTTGTTCTAAGTCGGCCCACACGTTTTCATCTCCTCTTCACATGACCTCCTCCAAGTCACCCTAACACTGACGACCAACTCGCTGATTCCCTTTCGGGTTCCACTCGAGCAATGGCTTGTCTAGTGATGTCACTTGATAGTTTGTTTCCTCAGAGTATGTCCAATCCATCTCCATTTCTTCCTACCTATCTGTTTCGCAATCGGTTCCTGGTTGGTTCGCTCATTGCCAGAGATCCCACCCTGTTGCTGATCTTTTCTGGCCGGCCATCTGATCTTGAGTGATATTGAGCGAAGACAACTGTTAATGAAGGTCTGTAGTTTGTTTGAGATGCTCTTTATGACGCGCCGTGCAAGTCTCTGATCCGTATAGTAGCACTGACTGACTTCACATTGGAGTTGCAAATCCGGATCTTATTTTGATTTTCAAGCTGAGTGCTGTTGACCTCCACACAGCCTTGAGAGTAGTGAAAGCTTGCATGTATATATATATATATATGCTAGTTGTAAATTTGTATCGACCCACATGGTTAAGTCGCATGTCACTGATGCCAAGCCATCGTCTTCTTCGTAGAACCATGTCAACTGACATAGAATTAGGTTCCAAGAGGTGGGGGTATGAGTCAGTGTAAAACAATGACATCAACTAACCGCATGTGAAGCCTCTGGCCGTCGTTAGTGGTGGTGGTGGTGGTGAATTCAAGCCATGTAGTGAGGAGGAAGTATAGACTATCTCATTCTGAGGTCTCCAAAGTGCTGCTAAAAATCACTATTTGGAGAGTGTTGGTAAGATGATGACTAGAAATTGTCCTTAATTTATTGCTCAGATGAATTCACTCTTGTTGGTCTTCTGTACGCATTATAAATCTTTGAACGGCGGAGGGGGTGTTTGTGTGTGTAAGATTAATAAGACTAGTAAACAGGGGAGATAAATTGAAGTAAATCAATAAAAAAGGGGATCATGTGAAATAATACCGGGAAGTGTTCAAAGTGAGAGAATAAGAATAACAATACCAATAAATATATAAGTAAGGATACATCGTCAACCAGGTCCACAAGTGTGTAATCCCATTGGGAAATGACGAGTGAGTCGTGTCTGCATGCGTGATATGGAGGCGAGGGTGTGATTTAGAGGGGAAAAATGAGAGATTATGGACAATCTTAGGGTTGTTGAAGCCGCCCTATGTTCCACTCCGAACCAAAAGGGAACAACAGTAATAATATAAGGATACATAGATTAATTAAACAAAGCGACAAAGAAATAAGTACTTTTATCCCTCTTTCCCATCCTGAAGCCAAGGTAGCGAGATAAAAATATTGGGTCTGTACCTACTGCTTCTGTCTACAAAAAGTCTTGACTTCATTTCATGAACAATTATCAAGCACTTGGTTGTTTTTAGAAGTTTGAAAAGAGAATAGGAAACCTGGCATGTAGAATAGAACATTTTACACGTTTCCTTTCGCCTTCAATGACACCATGTTCAAATTTGCTATCGTATCCATGTGTGTGTGTGTGTGGTGATAGCATTATGGACCTATCTTGCTCTCTACACAAGAGCAGTTACTGATGGATTTATTTACTGACCTTCCACTTCACATACAAATAACCTTCATTTTCTGCGTACCTCTGTCAACTCCTGATCCTATGCTAAATGGTGTATCTCTGTGGTGAGATTGTCTGTGATTGTATTTGGGGCTGTCAAACTGTAGCGGGTAAATGATTGTGCATACAGGTGAAATGGAAATCTAGGCTGCAACAGGATTCAAACTAGCCAACGACCTCTTCGTATAGTAGCTAAATTAAAAGGAGAAAGGTAGGGGTTTTTTAATTTTAATCCTGAGAAGAGCATCTGGGCTAATCTTGAGTTAGCGAATGCCTAACCCGTCAGTCAGTATGATTATACACGGACTGACAGATTGACTGCTTTCAACATACAACTTTGCACAGATGTCTGCCATTTCGAGTTGCCACACTCCCTTCACGTACCACACAAACCAACAGAAGACAGTAAACAGAGATTCAAAACAGAGAGAGATAATAAACAAAAATATGAATGAGGCAAAAAGAATAGTAATATGGAAGAACATTAGATACAAAGAGTCAATGCATCTGCAGCAGCGCCAGTCATCACCGAGAACGATTTTCAGCCAGTCATATCACCAATTGTCTCCAGCCTTCATTGGTTTTTACCATCGTCTCGAGGACCCCAACCAGTCAGGCAGTCTACACCTCCCTACGTGACTCGCTGGCTGGCTAACTGGCTTAAACTAACTCTTGTGGATTTCATTGACTGATGATGAAGCCATGTTTTCGTTTGACCAACACCACGATCACTAGCTACCTCCTATCCAACCTCATCCATCGATCCATCCTATGTCAGTCAGCTAACATCGCCCCACCCCTCTCCGCCCGTCGGTCTGTCGAATAAGGAAGGCGATGTCTAAGCAGGCAGACAGACATGCGTGACCAACACATATCCTAACCATCCATCTCAACCTGTATAACTGC